ATTGTTGTAGCTAGAGGAGTTCCTGTTGTGACCTAGGGACCCCGGGTCAGTGCAACACAGAGACAGTCCCTTCTCCAAAGATCTTACGCTCTAAATATAAGACAAGCCAGCAGGGAGATGCCTAAGCACCAACAAATTTTGGCCCAAACCATAAATTTTGGACATACTTTGTTATTGCCTTCTGGGGGTTATAATCCACCGTTGTTTTCTGACCAAGCTGCCCAGCCGCAGGGCGTTTCATCTCCTCAACAGCGGAGAGCATGATGTGTCAAGGGAGATGTGGTCTAACCAGAAAGCCTGGCCTCAAAAAGCAAAAAGGAGGCACGAGGCCCTCCAACTGCAGCTCCCACGAGGTATCATGGCAGCATTATTAAATCCAGTTGCTTATGTTTCCATCTGAAATCTTTCCGGATTGAAATCCCATCTCCCTCCTCCCCACCATATAAAACACTTCCTTGGAAATTTTCCTTTCACTGTCAACTCTCTCCACAGAAATATCTCCACTGCCATATTTGACCAGCTTTCATTATGAGCAGCCACACAGAGGTCTGAGTCACATGCCCAGGTTTACACCGCACTTCACCTGAGGCTCCGGCGTCCTGAGGACGCTGCCTTCTGCCTCCGTCCTGCGACCATCCCAGCCCCTGTACAATGCTCCCCAAGCAGGCTTATGCTGTTGGCCTTGCACAAGTCCATTGTCCCATGTTCCTTACCTGTCACTTAATGAACCAAAGGTGAAAGCCCCAATGAGAAGTCCCAGCATGAAAATGGACTGGGAGATGTCCGTTTGCTCTTTTCTGTCGCACACCAGGTCAAACTGAAGGAAAGAAATACATTTCAAAGGGCTGTTTATTGATGGCTGAATTCACGACCTGCCGGCAGCACAAACATTCCTAGAGAGAAAGGGCAAGCTAGGTAAACTGTCCTCCAAATCCAAACCACCCGGCATTGGTGGTTGGCAGTAGACAAGGGTTACTCCAGTCTCAAATGTGTTTGTGGATAGTACTGGTCAGAGGTCTTCCTCCCAGGGCAGGGAGGAAGCCTGTCTTCCTCCAAGGGCAGACCCCATATATCCCATGAAACCGCCCCACTGTCTAAAGGATTTCACAGTCAGGAGGGTTTTCCTGGTGCTGAAGCTCCAAAAATTCATCCCAATACCCTGACACAGTGTCCCCATTGACTGGTCCTCTCCTCTCTCAAAATTAGACCTCTTCAGGCCAATGTGGAATAAGTCACTCTTTGTAGCTCGTCACCAAGCTATTTGCGTTTTGCTTTTTTATTCTTTCCTTCATACATTACACCACTTTCACACTCCTGATCCTTGCCCCTTGCTCGTCCTGGAGTTTCCTCCATGTTGTTAATGTGGCAACAAGAAGAGCTCGCGAAAAAGCAGGAGCACCACTCTGCAAATGTTTTGGAAACCCTTTTTTTTTTTTAAGTTTTCAAAAACAACTACTTATTTATCCAAAGTTAGCTGTGCCCTTCTGGGACCTAAGCTAGCGGATTTAAAGGTAGCTCGGATATGCCAACATGTGCTGCAGTCACAGTGGTGACACTACTGAAGACAGACCTACAGAGAGAACTATCATCTCCCAGCTCCATGATGTGATGCTTCTGCATACCCAAGTACATCTATGACATCTAAACACCCATGTCCACTCTCACTCTCAAATGACTTCCAACTCTTTTTCCCAGTAGTCTAGGTGCATTGAACATGTATGCATATTTCTTGCTAGCTGGGGCTAAGAGGGCTTAATTACATCATTATTTATAGAATCATGAGCCCATCAATTGAGCCGGTGGGTGCACTTGCATCTTTAACAACATCCTTAAACATAAATGATATCATAGCATATGGTCTACATTGACAGCAATCAACAAGACTTTTCAGATAGAAATCTCAATAAGAGGATGCAGAAGGAGACAAAATCTAACACACTCCATGGCTAATGAAAGCCTTTGTATACAAAGACTTCTAAGAAAAGGAATGGCTCCACTCATAATAGACTACAGGCAACCCCCACCTTAGCGCTCTTAATCGGTTCCCAAAAAACAGAGCGTTAAGCAGAAATAGTGTCAAGCAAAACCAAAAGTTTTGGAAAAACCAAGATGGCGACCACAAGCGTTATAACGAAACTCGCCAAGCGCTAAGAGGAATTGGGTATCGATGTAAAACAAGTGAAATAGTGCTAAGCAAAACAGTGTTCAGCGGGGGTGCCTGTACTTCAAGCCAGAAGTGTGATCCCAAACCTGTGCATGCTGGGAGGGCAAAAGACAAATATTGATGTTGGCAGGAAAAAACGGGGTTAATTCTGCCCCTTGCAGCAGCAAACTCCACTGCCACTCTACAAAAGTGTGATTCGCAGACAGCCTTGTACTCTATGACACATTGTCTGCTCCCTGCAGCTGGAAAGTGCAGATGGAGAGAGGGACAGGAGGGCAAGGCACCTCTTTTCTGGTCCTTCTAGTGCTCCCCCACAATGCTTAAGAGGTGCCTGGGGCACGTGCTCCACCCACCCATGCAACATTACACTACTGGCCTGGTCTATCCCCAGCTACTTGCAAAAGGTCAACTAAAATCCGAAATAAACAACCGAATGAAGCTAAATCAAAGGAAAGAAGTTAGCATTGCTGTAAAATGATTTACAAGACAGTAAAACTTTCCCAGGTAGACAACCCCCAATCATATCAGAGAGTGATATTTCTCAGCAGTAAAGGTAGCGTCCAAATTCAGTTACACACCTCAGTCTGCAGGGTTGGATTTTGTTCTGCAGGATAAATCCAGCCACCTCAGCTCTTCTCAGTAGCATTCAGTCCATAGTCTAGGATGGAGTCAGCATCCCAGTCCATGGAGCACCCCTAGGGAGAGTCTGCTCTTCTTGTGTCAGGGTTGGGTTGGCTCCAGCTCATGTTACAGTGATGAGGCACATTCATCACCATGAACACTTGGCAAAAGATGGGGAATGTCATTAAAAAAGCTGGGAGGCAGAAGAGCAGCACCAGCCAGTTTTTTTAAATCACCCTAAATCGCTGATAGCTTTTAAAAACTCTGAAAAGTCTGCCATGGTGGCTTTCCCTTGATCCAGGCTGCACTATGGCATTTGGCTGTGTTGGTCACATGGTGTAAAATTAAAGTGCAACGATTGCTCAGAAAAATAATCAGCTAAGAGAAGAAAAATATCAGGGGGTGTTCTCCTGTCAACCTCATCAGTAGTACATTTTAGTCTGCAAGGAAGTATTTTGTAACCTGCCTAAGTACTTTCCAAAGTCCCTACCTGCATTCATCCATAAAGGTTCTGCAATGTCCCCACAGGCAATAATGCCAGGCAACAAGTGTTTACCTTATCCTGATTTCAAAAGTCTTTTAAGGGCAAAGCAGATGCCTGCCAGGGAGCACTGGTTGATAATGATGAAGTAAAAGAGTGACTTAACCACTCATGTAGGGGACTTGGGAGACACAGGTTGAAGCCCAGACACTCATATTTGAGTCCCTATCATTAATTTCTTTAGTAGTTAGGTCTAAATACTTTTAAACATCAGACCCTTCAACTCTTGGGGTCTCAGTTCCCATCTTCAAAACAGAGAGAACTATCCTACTTCTCAGGTGCTGGGAGGCCAAACCATGAAAGGTCACGAAGTGATCAGATGCTGTGGTCATGAGTCCACCCTGTCTGGTAGATAACCTGAGCTCTGAGAGACAGGTAAGAGATGAGTCTTGGGTAGATCTGAATAGAAAAAATACTGCTAAAGCCCCAGAGCAGCTATGAAAATCTTTCTGAAGAAGGAGGGGAAGGGTATAAAGGATTTTATTTGCACAAATTAAAACACTTTCCAGTCATTATCCAGCCAGGGGAGGTCTTTATTTCTGGGTCTTCTGCTGGGGACGGGCCTAAGAGGGCGACTGAGGCCATGCACTGAAAAGTAACTAAGGGCATGTCTACATGAGACGCGTTAATACGCATTAACCTAAGCTAATGCGCATTACGGATGCATGTCTACATGTGTGCACGCTTAATGCACATTAACATAAGCTAATTGCACCTAAATTTGATACCTGAAAATGCAGGTAGTTAAAGTGCATTAACACACATGTAGATGTGGCCCAACACTAACTTTAGTGCTGGGTCTGCCCAGCCACTAGGAGGCCAGTCTGAGCCCAACCCCAGAGCTTCTGCCTGGCTGTCACTCATGGCTTCAATTTAAGACTAAAGTTAGTCCCAAGTGCTGGCAGCCATGTGGCTGGAGGCTGGGGCTCCCCCCAGTGGCCACAAGGACACATGGCAGGACTGGAAGGACTTGGGACTAACTTTATCTCCAAGTCCTTGCACGTGTAGACACCTGTCAAAAATCACTTAATGCACATTAGCTTAATGCGCATTAAATTTAGTCACACTTATTTGCACATATAGATGTGTCCTAAGTGTGGCACTGAGCTCTATAATACCCTCTTTTCAAGTAAAAATGATTCAGTTTCTTTCCCCCACCCCTCTGTCTCATCCCTGCATCACACACCAGCTGAGTTTCTTCGGCCACGTGCAATACGGTTAGTTCTGAAATAGTTAAGGAGCTCCTGGAGGAGCTGGATGGGTACAAGTCAGCAGGCCCGGATGACCTCCATCCACGGCTGCTGAAAGAATTGGCCAGTGTCATAGCTGAGCCGCTGGCACGGCTGTTTGAGCACTAATGATGCTCTGGCCAGGTCCCTGAGGACTGGAGAAGGGCCAACGTGGTGCCCATTTTCAAGAAAGGGAGAAGGGATGAGCCGGGTAACTTTAGACCAGTCAGTCTTACCTCTATTCCTGGGAAAATGCTAGAGAAAATAATCAAAGAACACATTTG